CATTGCTTAGAGCGTAGGGTTTTGTGAGTTTTGCTGGATCATGATAAATTGAGAGAGAGAGAGCTCAATCCATGGACAAAAGCAAATGAGAAGTTCCTTTTTCATCCATTTATATCTGGTAACATTTACATCTTTACCCAGATTCTTAATTGTGTTCTGTTGTTGGAGTTTCAATTATTGAATTCATTTGACAAAAAAGCAATTGTGTCCATTGTTCCCAATTTGAATGTGTTTTTTTTTAATGTTTTTGGGATGGTGTGAAATGGGTAATTGACAATACAATGGAGGGGATTTGGGTATGTACCAAATGGGGGTGTCATCATGTGCTTCTGTTAGCATATGAACTTCATTTTTGGCCTACCCAACTGGGTTTCTCGAGGGATATTTTGGCAGAACCATGTGGACTTGTTCATGCACTCCATGTGTTTGTTAATTGTTTTGAAAGAGACCCATTTCTTGTTATGTGCCTTGAATAGCCTGTTGGATTGTTGGGAAGAGGATTTAATTGTTTTGAAAGAGACCCATTTCTATGATCTATCATACTTTATCTTAGTTTTCTATTTCAATAAAGTGGTGGTGTGCTACAGAGATGATTCCAAATACCAGATTGCATTTTTCTTTTATCATTTGACATATATCTCATCAACATCTTGTGCTTTTGTGCTTCTTGTTATGGCATCATCAATTGATCTTTGAACTGCATGTTAACTCAAGTAGACCTTATTGTGGAAGTCAGTCGGACACTTTAAGTAGGGGCAAACATAAAATAGCCATCTAACACACTATACTTTGTTCAAGTGATAATGCAGAGAACCAAGGAAGCTAGAGGCTGCACATGCACCAAACATAGAGTTTTTCATGTCATCCTCCAATAGAAAGTATAACAAATGCCCAAGGCTCCAAGTACAGCAGTGTTGTTCGCCTTTTTCTACTGCCTAAGGTTATTTATTATCTATAGTTTAGAAGTTTTTTTTTTTTGATCCAGAAGTTCATTTTCTTTGCTTAATGTTTGAAAAATTAACATGCAAATTGTCAATTGATCAATGTTGACTAGTTGTGTTTTTTGGAAGATGCAACAATATTGAACTTAACTCACATATATTGTCATGTGGTTCTGCAGTCTAACCAACCACATACCTTTGTTGTTGTTACTCTCGATCCACCTACCCGTAAAGGCCAAACTTTGTACCAACATATTGTCTTGCAGGTATTGTTGGTTGTGTTTCATTAAGGTCACCATTTAAGCTTTCTTAGAGATCATGTGTCCATGTGATGATTTATATTGTACCCTACCATCTTTATGCAGTTTGAAACAGACTATGTGGTTGAATGCACCTTGTCAATGAATGAAGGTCTTTTGAATAGCAAATACAAGGACAAGTTAGAACCATCGTATAAGGTATAGTAGTGATGTTGTTTCATCTTTTGATGCCATTCCTAATGACTATGTTGTTGAAAGCACCCTGTCAATGAATGAAGATCTTTTGAATAGCAAATACAAGGACAAGTTAGAACCATCGTATAAGGTATAGTAGTGATGTTGTTTCATCTTTCGATGCCATTCCTAATGCACCATTTTGTACATGTTCAAAACACAATCTGTTGCCTTTTTTTTTTGTGTGTGTAATAAATTACACAATTTTGCTTATATTGTGATAGCAATATATATATAACTAAATCTACTCGCTTTGGTATGATTTTCTTTTCTCTAATACATCAGGGCCTGATTCATGAAGTATTCATTTTGATAATGCGTGGCTTGTCTGGTGCCAAAGTCACTAGACCTGGGAAGTTCCGTAGCTGTCAAGATGGTTATGCTGTTAAGTTTTCATTGAAAGCTGAAGATGGTGTCCTGTATCCACTTGAAAAGGGATTCTTCTTTTTACCCAAGCCTCCAACTCTTATTCTTCATGAAGAGGTAACTTTCTGGCCATACAAATGCTTTAACCCTGTGGTTTAGTGGTAGGTGATAGATATATTATTTTGAATTATATCCGGTTTGGGGTTTACTTTTCAAAATAAAATATGCCTGGTTTGGGGTGGATTGACTTGTTGAACTTGCGTATCTTATTTCAGATTGACTATGTGGAGTTTGAAAGGCATGCTGCTGGAGGTGCAAATATGCATTACTTTGATCTTCTTTTCAGATTGAAGACTGAGCAAGAACATCTTTGAAGGAACATTAAGAGGAATGAATATCACAATCTTTTTTACTTCATCAGGTTGCTATAAGCTTCTCATGGTCTGTTATGGAGAGTTGGAAGTTACTGCAAAATGTTCTGATAATTTGATCGGCATGTTCTGATAATTTGATAGTACTGCAAAATGTTATATTTCTTTCCTCAAATTATTTAGGCCATATGTATTATTTGGGCTTCCTATAAAATCCTAATATTTGCACCTTTCAAGCACAAATGCCCCCACACCCTCTGACTTCTCCAGGTGAACCTACTTACTCCCTCTTCATGCTTTTAAAAGATGAGAAAAAATTGAGCGTGAAACCATTTTTTGGTCCTTTAAATCTTGCATCAAAAACTTCAATCTTTTAATTCATATCATGATGTTTCCATTCCAGACATTTTCTGCTGAACTGTGCATGTACTGAATTTTCTAGTATGGCTTACCTTTTATTGTGCATTTGCATGCTTTGGCCTATATTTCAATTATTTCATTATGTATGAATATTTCAATTATTTCAATTCAAATACGTCTCTGATACATGTGTGAGTTCCTTTGAACCAGCTATTTATTCGTGAGTCTCTGGTATGCACTTGAATGACAGAACAACAGGTTATGCATTTATGCAGTTTGCTTACCCGTATGGCAAGTATAAGCAACAAGCTTTCATGGTGACAAATAGAACAACATTTGTTACGAGAATAATATTTTAAATATGCGTTTGAATGAATTCATATATAATGACAAGTCCCACTCAATTTTGCCTTTTAACTGTTGACAGAATGGGTGTTCTCTTCTTTTTTTAATTAGATAATATGATGAGGAATGTTGGACTGAATTTCTGGGCAGCCCCGTTTCTCTCAATCTGAGCCCTAATTTCAATGTCATCTTGTGAATTAATTTGAGCAGGGTTTTTAATAACAATGAACTCAGTGGCAAGATTCCTTCAACCAAAAGGACTACTGCAGACTTTGGAGATATTGTGAGTATCTCTATCACATAGCCAATTAAAATCATAATAAGATGCTAGCTGTGAATACCCATTAAATTTTTTGAATTGAGTATACAGTGTTGGCAATGGATTTTCCTGGATATGTACGAATGTATTTCTATTTACCCACTTGCTAGCTGCTTCATTTTTGCAATATTTTCAGCCATTGATTCAGATGTTTCTTGAGATGCTCAAAGTTTGATAAATGGATTATCCACCTTTTCTGGCATTCTTTAAGTTTTTTTTATCAGTTTGTGATTCTTAGTACCATTCTACTTGGTAGATGCTAGAAATTGTTCTTATTTGTATTTTATTTGAGCATTTGTTTAATTTTTTTTAAAGTCTATGTTCTTTATTGATCGTTTCATGGCAAAAGCATTACAATGTATGTACGAGTCTATTTCCTGTTACCCTCTTGCTATCAGTTTCATTTTTGTAATATTTTTCAACCATAGATTTACTTATTTGTTTTTATT